GATTCTGCAAAGTAACCAAAGCTTTCAGATACATTTAGTAGAGTAAAAAGTACTTTATTTGCCTCCAAAATATGGTGTAGAGTAAAAATATACAGTAGCATCATATTAAAATACTCAAGTCCTTTGTAAATACAGTAAGAATATGCAATAAAAACATAAAATAAAGATATTTATACAGGAGTAAAATCTCAAATAAAACCTAAAAACATATAGTAGCGTTACAGTACAGGTTAAGTACAGTACAGTAAATGTACACACAGTACTCGGGTAATTCAACATATGTAAAAGAAACTGCAGTAAAATCGTGTAATAAACATATGTATGCGAGCAAGATAAGTTCATAATCTCCAATAGGGCTATTGATCGCTTCATTGATAGATCTGGAGGAACAATTTCAACAAGACAACGTTCAATTAAATACAAATACATATTCATCAAGTATAGTACAATGTGTGTGTAATACATTTGATTTAATTGTCCAATAAAAGGAAAAAAAAGAGCGTTAAATTAAATGGAAAAATACTCAGGTAAGATATATTTTTCAAATTGTACTAAAGGACACTACTCTGGTAATTGTACTTTCCACCACTGGGTGAGCGTCACATACAGTCCTGTGTGAGTGTTCATTTAAATGTTACTGTGAGGGGTCAGAGGTCATGGTCAGCCTGAGGGCACTGGGTCTTGGTCAAGGACACGGCAGCGGGGCAGACGGGATTTGAACTTGCGACCCTCAGGCTGAATCCTCAGACTCTGCGCTCACATGAAGCAGAGAGAGCTCTTCCTCAGTCTCTCTGTCTTCAGCTCGTCCTCCTCCTGGCTGACGGCAGGAATGCTGACATAACAGATGTTGTCTGACAAAGCCAATAATTATCTGCTGTACGGCTGTGTGTCCATTCCCTCCCTCTCCACATCCTCCTCTTCCTCCTTCTCCTCCTCCTCCCACTGCTTCACCCTCTCCTGTCACTCCCCCGCACAAACACACAAGCATGTATCCATGCATGTGGAAATGCAGCTTGATCTAATGGGACGACGTATGAATCATTCAGCCACTTGTATTGCTTGTCAGGTATACACCAGAAAGAAGTCAGTATTGTTAGGTTTTCAGCAAAGTCCCGACCAGAGTTTTATTTCATCGTTGTGGTTTTAAAATAACGGTTTTCAGAAAAAAGTCAGGATCTTATGAGAAAAATAAATGTTGGAGAAAAAGTAAGAATGTGAGTAGCTAATGTGCTAATGACATTCTCAGGTCTGAGCATTGATTTAAGGACCAACAGCATCCTGGACCTTCTGTCTTTTGACTACCTCATGAACACCTTTATTGACCTTGATTACTCCCGGCTTAGCGCTAGCAGCATAGTAAACAATGGAGTTTATGTGAAATAATACAATAATAGATTATCACAAAAAACTCAAAATTTTGAGGAAGAAAATCTGTATTTTGAGAAAAAAGTCTGAATTTTCAGAAAAAGGTTAGAATTCTTCTGAACAATCCGGTCCTGGATCGCTGCAGTTCACCACCAGCTCAGGGCAGTCGGTTCATTTTCCTCCAAGGACCGCTCTTCACCTCATTATAATAATGGAGCGCTCTCCCAACGACCCGAAACAGACATTTAGAGAAATCTTTATCGATGTTTATAATTTGTTTTCATCCAGAACACAAGCCACACGAGTCCTGAGGTGAGGAGTTCACGTACAGCTGAGGTGTGCGGAGATTTACAAACTAGATAGTGAGATAAGTGGATTTTTTTTACTTTGGTTTGAATTGAAACCAAGAATCCTTCTCTGCACAAGAGTCTTTCTGAACTGTTTATTTGATGTTAATATTTTGATCAAATGTTATTTTGTTGACGCAACGAAACACACTAATGATCACTTTTATGTAAATACTAAACCTTTCTTCAACAAGGTAGACCACCTTGAACTGGAACATCCAAATAAATCCTTGTTTCCTTTTGACAGGCTCCACTATTTCCCCTCTGATATTGTGTTGTCAAGACAAGTTTTTATTTAAGGTATGATGTGAACTGTTGTGCGTTCAAAATTGGATGTTTGCACCAAACCTTCAGGGGTTTTGTAAGTGAAGCTTTGGACTGAAACAGACAGAGAAAGGACCGTGACCGAGCTAAATATTGGTTACCTTGGATGGAGCATTTGAGTTTCCCAACAACACAAAGACAGTGAACGCATCGGTCAGAGTTTCTGATGCTTCACGGCTGCCAGGATTTAACTTCGGTCCATTCTTACTCCTGAAGTCACACAATGGATCCCTGAAGGCCTCTGACATTGACTCGTAAACTTTCAATTACACGTACGAAAAAGGAAAAACCACCAAGATTACAGCGTTGTGGTTTTTCCGAAATAAACTTAAAGAAAACACAAGCTGGAGGTATAAGATCTGGACTCTCACACACTGAGGCTGAGAGCTTTATCCTGCTCACCATCTGACCCCCTTTTTCCCCTCATTTAGCAAATTGGTGTCCCTTATCGTGCCGAGGGCTGCCTGTGAACCAGAAAACACACACATAATAGAAAGGGGAGGCAGGGAGCTGAACTTCGAGCTTCCCTGCTGAGGTTTTTATAGCTCAGAGGGAAAGAAACATAGATTTGGTGGGACGGATAAAGAAGCCGGAACAGTGCGTTTCAAAATCCCTGTCCATCGCAATATTTGGTTGAAGCTGTGTGTGGGATCTCAGCTCAAATTAAGTCTTCACAAACTCATAAAGAGAAAAGACTCCTCTGTGTCCTCAGGTCGACCCCGGTCTGACCTCTCTGTCTCTTTAGGGCAAAACAAAACCCCAATTAAAAGCTAATAGCTAATGAGGATGGGTTTGGTTTATCCCCTCAGATTTAAGGGGAGACTCTACATGTGTTGCTTGATTTTGAGATTTCAGAGGAGAAAACACACATCCATACGGTGGCCTGAAACATTAGGAGAAATGCAGCTTAAGAAACGATGGATATATAAAAACACAATGTGCCAAAACACTTGCAGATTATGAAACATCTTCAGCAACTTGACAACAGAAACCAGGGGACACTAAAAAGTGATGCACATTTCTATGAAATACTCGAACTCTTCCAACAGTTGCATTTGCATATGTTTTGGACACCTTTGTGTTTTTATATTTGTGTCGTTACTTGCAGCGCGTTTCTCCTAATGGAAATGATTTGGGCTGCGCATTTGCACCAGTCAGCCACCGTACATTTAGGTGTAGATTTAAGTAACTTTGTCTATTTGGGTCTTTAGCTCTCTTCTATCAACACCAACAACAATAGAACAACACTAACTGAATTGCTTGTCCACTAAGGCTTGTTTATCTGTTGTCTAATGGATTACATTTATTCCACATGCAATTGCACCTTTTTAAATATTGTATATAGATGTGGTCAATAAGGTTTTGGAAATAGCCACTCGGCATTAAAAAGGAATTTAGACAATTACTAAGTAACAAAAGAAACCAAGCGAGGAAACTCCAGCCTGAAGCAACGATGAAACGAGCGTAAATCGTTCACTAGCTCAGAGAACGTTTTACACTCGTTTTATCGTTGCTTCAATTGTAAAATGCACAGCAGTGACGGTTATCTGGTGTCGCGTTGTCTTGCGTCCCCCTCTGTGGTTCCCATGCTCCCTCCCAGCAGCTGACCGCTCGCTGACCCCTGCAGCCGGTGGCTTCGCGCTGAACTCTGGTTCAAAACGTTGCCCAGTTCCCAATGACTGAGCACCCATCGGATAACGACCCTGGCAGAGTTTCCTCTGCAGCGGACAGAGTGGCCCATTAATTTTCTGCCACACAGCTCCATTCTGCGCCTGTGAATGAAGGCGGTCAGGTGGAGGCTGGAGATGACCTCACAGTGACAGTGAGTGACGGCTAATGAGGTCAACATTGGAAGGCCCTTCTACACTGTCTCAGAATTCAGATTTGACCTCTTTCTCAGATTTTGACTTTTGTTTTTTACCGGATTTCGACTTCTTATTTTTTCTCGGATTTTACCTTTTTTTTGGTCAGAATTCAAATTTGGATTTTTTCCCAGATTTTGACTTTTTTTCCCTCAGAATTCAGATTTTGACTTTTCCCCAGATTTTGACTCTTTTTCTCTCAGATTTAGATTTGTTTTCTCAGAATTCAGATTTGGAGATGCTGGTGACCTCAGCAGTGGTCGCCTAATGAGGTCAACATGTGAAGTGGGGTCGCTCTACACTGTCTATAAATACTGTGGATACTTCTACTATTGTTGTACTATATTATACTAACACTAATAATAATAATAATAATAATAATAATAGATTACATTTATTATATCACCTTTCAAGGGACCCAAGGCCGCTTTACATGGTGTTAACAAACAAACAAGTTACCCACTCATTATGCATTACCTGCAGTGGTACTTGTACTTACCATATGCATTTCCATTTCCTGCTACTTTATAATTCTTCTCCACTCCAATTAAATATTAAACGTTTTACTCCTCTACATTTATTTGACACTTGTAGTTTCTACTAGCTACTTTTTCCATAAATAAAGTGATGATTATTATTATTATTAATATTACACGGTTTAGTTGAGTACTCTATTATTATTATGATTGGTTAATTCGGGAATTCTAGAGGTCTGCTATATTTCACTAACAAACTGTTGCTAAGGAGAGCAGACTGTTGCTAAGGAGAGCAGACTGTTGCTAAGGAGAGTAGACACTGCCAAGGAGAGCAGACCGTTGCTAAGAAGGATCAAGGGTCATATAAAAACGTTCAGAAAGAAGTCCCGGTCACTTTAACGTCAGCTGTGGACGACAGCAATTTAGAAATACAATCATTTTAAATTAATGTTTGTAGTTATGTCCTTGGTATATTTAGTACATGTAATAAGCGGGATAAAACGCCCCTTTTCGTGTACTTTGTGTACTTACCTCACAACACAAAGTCATGTTCTCAGACATGTTGGTCACCCTTGTTGAAAGCGTTATAAAACAGTCATTGATTTTGATCTTCTACTTTACTCTTTACATCAACTGTACAGCAGCTACATCACAGACACTCATGAATGCATACACTTATATACAGACTCCTTAAAGTGGAGAAAGTGCTATCTCCTTCCACAAATCCATCCGTATGTTCAGATTTCACAGCGTCTATTAGACAGATTAAACAGTCCTAAATTTAGACCAATAATAATAAAAATAATAATAACTTTACTCTATATATGCTTCTCTACACAATGAAATATATCTAGCAGTGAAACAAAGTGTTATGGACATTACAGGTTAGTTATCTATTCATACTTACATACGCAAATATTGTTACAGAGTAAAAGTACATCATAAGTGATACATCTGCATTTTAAATACAGCTTATTCAGAATGCTACTTCATTTGATACACACATAATAGCACTGTTGAGGATATATACTACATTCATGTTCAGAAAACAGAACAGTTTGAATGTTTGGGAGGTTGCATGTGTCCAGCGAGGGTCTGGAAATATTCTCCAATAGTGTTCTGACTTTAATCAGATGAATTATATTGAGTGTAGTCCATTGAGCTGGCAGGCATCCAGTGCCTTGCTCAAAGGCAATTCAGGTTATGAGATATATACAAATATAAAGAACATGGCTGGTTTTACTGCCTGTAAATTGGAGATGAGGTCCCCATTTCTGTCCCTGGAGTGGAAGACTTTTACCGGCTGCATGTTTGTGAGTTTTTCAACAAGATTTGTGAATATAAGTCGAGTGAAATACCGTCTGATTCAGCACAGAAATGATATAAATTACTTGGATATGTCCTAAGGGCCCGTGTCCACATATCACCTTTCTCTGGCAGCAGCTACCAGCGATTCATTGAATACATTTTTCTGTAGACGGCATGCCCTCTTTTCTTATTGGAATCAATTGAAAAAAGGCGCCTTGTGGACACGGGCCTTTACTGGATGTTGAACCTACCAAGAGGTAAACAAAATGTAAAACCCGAAAGCTGAGTGAAGGGTCTGACTCAACAAAATAGGTTAATTTGCCTTTCCAGATTAATATGACCTATTGAGCCCAGACCCTTTTTATTTTGTGATTTATCTCTGAAAAGACGTGTGCTTGCAGTCCATTCAGCGGGCACTTCCTCAAAGCAAACCCAGAGCTTCTGTTCAAAGTAATGCCAGGAAATGAATAACTTAAATATGCATCAGGTTGCTAAAAATAAACTTGTGCTACGACAGGAAGTGTTTGTTGAAGGTTTGGACCCAACCCCTGCAGAGATGATGACATGAACCCCTTCTTCATGTCCGTGTTAGCAGAAGGAGTTCCTGATCTGCTCCCTCCGTACACCATCGTACCTCCTTGGAGAGTTTTTTCCAGAAGAGTTCCTCTCCTCTTGGTGTTGGGAGTGGAGTCAAAGTCAGTCAAAGTCAACTTTATTGTCAATCTGGAGTGATCTAGAGCGGTTGGTTATAAGAGAAGTTTACGTGCAGCCCGTTGACCGGATGCACGATCGGCACTGTCTGCATTTTGGGGAAGTTCTCCGTGGCCAGAGTCCATTTGCAGGTTCCGATCAGCTCCACAGCCAGAGTTTTTAGGATGATCTGAGCCAGTTCTTTCCCGACGCAGCTCCGAACGCCGCCTCCGAACGGCACGTAGCTGAAGCGGTTAGATTTACTCTCCTGCCGGTCCGGGCCGAACCGATCCGGGTCGAACATCTCTGGGCTCTGGAAGGCCGCGGCCGTCTCGTGGGTGTCTCTGATGCTGTACATCACACTCCAGCCTTTGGGGATCTGGTAGCCCTGGGACGTGAGGAGAGAAATAATTTACAGTGGACGAAAAAAGGTTTTAGATTATGACTTTTCTCTCCCATTTTGACTTTTTTCGCAGCTTTAGTTTTTTTCTCAGATTCTGTCTTTTTCGCCGTGGGTGTCTCTAACGCTGTACATCACACTCCAGCCTTTGGGGATCTGGTAGCCCTGTAACTAGGGATGCTCCGATTGATCGGTCACTGATCTAGATCTGCCGATACTCACTCTCTACCGATCGATCGGTGCTCTCTAAACATGCCGATCGCGAGAGCCGATCGCATGACGTAAAATACATGACACTTTTCTCTGTGCGCGGCAAAACAAGCTCGCCAAAATGGCTTCACCGGTCTGGCAGTATTTTAAGTGTCCGAAAAAGACAGTAAAATAGCGGTATGCAACGTGTGTGAAGCAGAAATCCTGCAGCTCCACCCGCTGTGACGGACCGGTGAGTGGAGCAGAACACACATTAAGAGTTAGACCTAACACACTTAGCTATTTGATCTACCTCTGGAACAAGCTAAACTAGTTATAAATATATTTATTCTTCACTGTCGGGTCACTCATTACTGGATCAGTGAGCTGCAGGAGATACTGACAGGCTGTCAGGAGAGAGGAAAAGAGAGCGCTCCCGCTCATTTCTCCCGTGGTATTATCCAAAGTGAATGTAAACTTGAATAATGTACTTCATTTGAATGTAACAATGATGTTGGTTGTTGTTTGTGGAAGCTCCAGTGAATGAGCATTAACTGAGTTTTAAACATCACTTTAAATGGAAGATTTTAAATTATATATATATATAATATATATCCTGCAACAGTTAAACTCACGTCTAATTCGAACGTCTGCAGGGCCGTGCGGTATCCTCCAGAGACCGGAGGCAGGAAGCGAAGAACCTCTTTGACGACACAGTCCACGTACCGAAGCTGACTCAGTTCATCCAGGCTCAGGAACGGGATGTGAGACTGAGGGAAACCGTCCCTGAGGTTCTGACAGCTCAGCAGCCCGCTGGTTTCTGAAGCTTCTTCTTCTTTCTCCGTCCTGACGCCAGATGGACTGAAGGTTTCGTATCCGAGTCCCTGAGCCTCCAGCTCCACTCGGGCTCTTTCCACTACCATCGGGTGGCGAAGAAGCTGCAGGATTAAAGACGTGGAGGCGCTGGCGGTGGTGGAGTGAGCCGCGAAGATCAACTCTACTGCGGTTTCCTGCCAGGAGAAAAGTGGAGAGATTTAGTTAGATCATTTACTCTTAAAGAGTCCCTATTGTGCTTTGTGTTTATGTTCTATAGGTTTGTGAATCAGAATCAGAACCAGAACCAGAATCAGGTTTATTACAAGGTAGGTTGACACGTACGAGGAATTTGACTTGGTGTCGTGGTGCATACATAAAAATGAAACTAACATTAAAAACACAGATAGAAAACTATTTTAAGAAAACTATAATAACAGTAAAAAAATATATATATATAGTAAAATATAGCAGTATTTACATTGTGTGTGTGTAAATGGTCTGCAAAGGCAAAACATCCCTGTGTCCCTCCACAGCTCCTGCCTGAAACGCCTCCATTGGACCCCTTTGTTTACATCCAGAACATAGTGACATCACTTTGGAGCAACCATGCTTCTGTGGCGAGTTTTTAGAGCCGAGAGCTCGAAGAATTGGTTCAGAACGTGCATTGCAGAAACATTTCAGATAATACGTCTCTGAGTGAAAGACCCTTAACCCTCTAAGAGATTTGTTTTTAAATAAATAAAGTACTTTAAAGACTTGTATTCAGTGTTTTTATGGGGCTAGGCTTCACAATATCACTTTAATCTGACTGCAGCCTTACAACGTCTTTATCGGCATATTAACAGACTTTGAGGCTTGGAAGGACTTCCAGACATGAATTGAGAGTCGTGGTACCTTGAGCTCCTGGATGTTGATCTGCTGTCCGAGCTCCTTAGCGCTGGACAGCATGTAGTCGAAGGCGTCGTGATATTCCTCCTCCGCTTGCTGTCGCGCCATCTTCTCCTCAATGATTTTCTGCATGTTGGCGTGCAAGATCTCTCTGGCTTTAATGCCCTGAACAGGAAACAACCCGGAAGCGTTATAATTAGATTCAAATTCAAAGATATTATTGTCATATGCACAGAAGCTGCAGGGTAGTACCTCTTAAGTCCCAGGCTCCTCCAACAATGAATGAGAACAATACATATATATATATAAGACATCAACATAAAGCAATAAAAAGTAGTGTAAGAATAACAGAACAGAACAAAATAAAGGTAATCTTTGTCAAAAAGAAACAGCTATTCTTGCAAAGATGACCCAATGTAAATCTCTTTGACTCTTTGATACTTGATTATTGACAAGTAGACTTTTTATCCACAAACTAAATAATTAAAGAAACTTTTTTTCATTTGCAAACTGGTACTTGTCTGCATGTGTAACAAAAGGCCTGACAGTACTTCTACACATTCATTCCCCCAAATTCCTAAGACTTTTATTTTGAGGGAAGATGCATGTTGTTTGTGTTTCTGGTGCTTTCATGTGCAATCTGACACTCTAACTCCCGACTTATAAAAGAATGTGTCTTGCTGTTTCCCCAGGTTTCCTCTCACCTTACGCAGCCCGCTGAGTGGAGCGTCGAAAGGCAGAGAGAACAGGTTGTTCATCAGCTGCTCGAAGATCTGCGTCAGGTAAACGATCCGCTCCTCCTCCATCTTCAGACCCAGAAGGACCCGGACGGCGATCCGGAAAGTCAGAGATTTGGCGGCGCTGTAGACGTCCACGGATCCCGGCTCCGAGCACCATTTGGAGATTTCAGACTTCACGACTTCTTGCAGCCGAGGAAGGTAGGACTCCAGAGCGCCACGGCTAAACACTTTAGCCAGGATCTGAAAAGGGTCGACAGAGGGATATCATCAAAAGTTATAACATGACAGGCAACACCTTTCTGTAAATACTTGCTAAGGAGGGGGAGCGGGTGGGTGGACATTCAGTTTTCCACTCTGTTTTTAGTATACATGCACATGCTTCTTATATAGGTATACACATACACACAGTTATGTTTGTTGTGCACACATGCACATACACACAGTTATAAATGCACACATGCACATGCATTGAGAGGTCCAGAGCAGAGAGGCAGTTGGGGATTAGGTGCCTTGCTCAAGGGCACCTCAGAAGTGGCCCAGGAGGTGAACTGGCTCCTCTCCAGTATCAGTCCACACTCCGTCATTTGTTGGTCCTTTGGCCCAAAGTCCAAGTCCCTACGGACTGAACCACAGCCGCCCCAAAGACACATACTTTGGGTTATCTTTACCTTCCTCTTCCTCTTGTGCAGGTCTCCGATGGAGTTCACCAGAGTGTTGGGCCCCAGGATGATGCGGGTGCTCTGAGGCCACTGAGTGCAGACCAGACTGTGTTCTCCCAGGAGAATCTTCCGGATGTTTTCTGCTCCCGTCACTCGGACCACGGGTTTCCCGAGAAGGTGGGTCTTAAACACATTCCCATGTCTCTCTCTGCGCGAAATGTGGAAGTTAGAGCCCTGGAGAAGTGACAAGAGACTTTATTTATAGGAGCACAAGTAGTATGAGACAAATAAAGAGTTGTTTTGAACATTGAAGCTTACTTTAAAGTAGAGACACTACATACTGATATACACCTGAACATCAGCAGGAGAGGACTCTTTAAAGTAGAGACACTACATACTGATATACACCTGCACATCAGCAGGAGAGGACTCTTTAAAGTAGAGACACTACATACTGATATACACCTGAACATCAGCAGGAGAGGACTCTTTAAAGTAGAGACACTACATACTGATATACACCTGAACATCAGCAGGAGAGGACTCTTTAAAGTAGAGACACTACATACTGATATACACCTGAACATCAGCAGGAGAGGACTCTTTAAAGTAGAGACACTACATACTGATATACACCTGAACATCAGCAGGAGAGGACTCTTTAAAGTAGAGACACTACATACTGATATACACCTGAACATCAGCAGGAGAGGACTCTTTAAAGTAGAGACACTACATACTGATATACACCTGAACATCAGCAGGAGAGGACTCTTTAAAGTAGAGACACTACATACTGATATACACCTGAACATCAGCAGGAGAGGACTCTTTAAAGTAGAGACACTACATACTGATATACACCTGAACATCAGCAGGAGAGGATCCAGTTGAAATGGGACATTCGACAGAAGGAATTATATAAATAAGAAGAATCAAAGACGGGAGGAAACACACACACACACGCACACACACACACACACACACACACACACACACGCACACACACACACACACACACACACACACACACACACGATGTGAGATGAGGGGATGAGAGGGTGCATTCCTCGCTGTGTAGGACTCGGGGAAAGAGGAGGAAGGATTGGACAGAAAGCGTCTGGTTTTACGCACGGAGCATCAAGTCGGCACATGTTGCATTAACTGCAGCAGCTCAAGAATCTGCAACGCTCCGCTCTACATCTCCATCCTTTATATGTGATTAATAAAAACACCTTCCAACAGCTCTTGTGTTTAATGTGTTGAATTGACCCTCTGGTTGTGTTTGTTTCTTCCCCCTTAACTCACTTTAAGCTAAGTGTCTCAAGCTGCTGGTTAACATGGATAACTGCAGGGAACACACAACGAGTAGACACTTACAATGAATTCCTAAATTAGCATTTTGTAGATTGTGGTTCTACTATCTGATGGAAGAACGTCATCTAGGGTTCTCCGTTCATTCCCTATGGCGGGAACATCACAGGTGTTACAAAGTTGACTAAAAAACACTATACTATACAATTTATATGTTCAAATGCCTTCTGTGGAGATCAGATGTAAAGCACGATGTTTATCATCAGAGGTTGAAAAAGTACTCAGATCTTTACTTGAGTACTAGAGTGTAGAAATACTCTGTTTCAACTATCTCTAATGTTACACAAGTAAAGGTTAAAATAATTAGCATCCAAATGTTCTTAAATATTTGAGATATTGTAACGGTTGGGTTAAATTAATTTTCTACATTGTGGTACTGTTTTAGGAAGATCCAGATATGTTTGGCATTTTAGTAAATAGTTACTGAAGGTCAGTAGGCCTACTTGAGTACATCTACTTAGTTACTTTACACCACAGGTTAAATCATAGCATGGATTAACACAGTAAAAACTTGCAGGAGGATTTTTTGCAGCTTGTAAATCAAATAAAAAAAGCAAAACCAGCCCGGAGGTGTCATCTTATGATTCAGCAGACCATCATAACCCGTGAGGCTGTCCAGCAGCATCATCTGAGACCCAAAGCTCTAACAGAGAAGATGAACTGCTACCACCTGATAGAGATTCACTAAAGTCAGACTGAAGCATCCTTTGTGCTCCAGTCAGTCCTCTCAGTAAACACAGAGCTACAGATCAGATGCTGAAGGCTCTCTGAGCTTTTCTCTCAGTGATCCTGCTGTTATGTTACATGTTTGTTGTTTGTTTCTCATGTGTTGTGTCTTGATATGTGTCTGTTGGTGTTACACATGGAGCTGCTGTGATGCAAGGAGCATTTCAGACTTGATATGACCAGTAAAGTATTATCGTATCGTATCTCTCACCTGGAACAGCCAGTGGAAAGTCTCCCCGACCAGCGGCCAGCCCATGGAGCCTTTGGGCAGCGGCAGACTGCTCTCCTTGTCCCGGGTCAGAGTCCAGCGGAGGGTCCACAGCTGGCGGGTCAGAGCCAGCAGCAGCAGCGCGGACAGCACCGAGGTGAGCGCGGCCGCCAGGGGTAACAGAGCCCCGAACTGCGCCGCATCCAAAAACATCTCCAAACACCGTCCGATTTCCCAGCATCCACCTGTGGCCACCGTGCGTAAAGGCGCGTCTTCTCCGGGAGTTTAACCGTCCTCCTTTCCGTTCGCTGCGTCCTCCTCCTGTCCGAATCAGAGGGAGAGAAGTACTCAGATCTTGTACTTGAGTAAAAGTAGAAGTACTCAGATCTTGTAATTGAGTAAAAGTAGAAGTACTCAGATCTTGTACTTGAGTAAAAGTAGAAGTACCAGAGTGTAGGAATACTCTGTTACAGTAAAAGTCCTGCATTCAAAATGTTCCTCAAGTAAAAGTATAAAAGTATTCTCATCAAAATATAGTGAAAGTAGCGACAGTAAAAGTAGTCATTGTGCAGATTGGTCCATTTCAGAATAATATATATGATATGTTTTATAATGATTGATCATGAAAGTGTTCTCAAAGCTGGTAAAGGTGCAGCTAGTTTGAATGACTTTGTATACTGCAGGGTAGCTTGTGGATTTACTCCAGGTGGAACTAAAGTCTGATTTAACACTTGATTATATTTCACATCATTCATCCACATCTGTGAAGTAACTAAAGGTATTAAATACATGTAGTGGAGGAAAAGTACACCAGTTACCTCTGAACTGTAGTGGAGTGAAAGTACACAGCATAAATGAAAGTAAGTACCTCAAAAACAGTAGAAGACTAAATGTACTTAGTTACTTTCCACCTCTGGTCCAAATAAAAAGAAAGGTGTGTTGGAGCTGCAGAGGAATCTAAACTCTTTCTGAACTCCTGCAGACAGCCTGTTATTACAGAGCACAATAATAACAGTAATCAAAGCTGCGGCTGATCCAGGACCGGCAGCTGATCTCTGCTCACTTCTGGGCTATTAACAGGATTTACACTTTTTCACTTCAGTGTAAAGTCATAGTCTGGTTTGAGTAACAGAATGTGTGTCAATGACTGAGTTGCACATGTAGTTCTTCTACCTGTAACCTAAATGCAGTTTGGGGTAATAAATACATTATTTCAGCAGCCAAACGCATTTTCTTCTGGTGTGAAAAACAGGAAGAAGTTGTAATTTTGTGCATTTGATAAAGAGTTTCCGCCTCCTCAGACCGGATGGATGCGCTTTGGATGAGCTCTCCACGAGAAACGTGCCTCTCTGCCGTGAGGAAACTCCCCTTCTTCATTCCTCCCCAAATGAGCAGTAGCTGTCAACTATTCCAAATAGTTTTACAGGTTTACATGCGCCGGCTTGTCTATTAGGTTATGCGCCTTTTATAGGTACAGTTCAGGGGGCTCAGCCACCCCCCAGGCGGACCTGCTTTATGGGGCAATGGTAGCAATAAATCAGGTTTGTTTTAAGAAGAAGCAGAAGAAGAAAGGGAGGATTTGAATACAGTAGGTAGGCTACAACCGAGTTTGTAAATGAGATGAAAGGATGATAAAAGAGTTTTAAAAGCTCAACGACTTGCTGTGAAAAGAGGATTCTGTGCGTAAAGATGCGTGCGTAAAAAGGCTGAACGTACCTGTAGTCAGCTCGGAGAGAAAATCCGTGCTTGAGTTTCAGAGTTTCTGCTCCTCTGCTGCTCTGCAACCCGGAGACTCTCCGTTCTGCGGGGGGTTTTATAGAAGAGGCTGCACGGCATGATCCACCTTCAGAGGGCTGGTCCGAATAATGAGAGGCAGAGAGAGAGAGAGGAATCAACAGGCAGGGACACAAGGGTGGAGAGAGAGGTGTGTGTGTGTGTGTGTGTGTGTGTGTGTGTGTGTGTGTGTGTGTGTGTGTGTGTGTGTGTGTGTGTGTGTGTGTGTGTGTGTGTGTGTGTGTGTGTGTGTGTGTGTGTGTGTGTGTGTGTGTGTGTGTGAACTGCATTTTTTTAAATATATTTTGTATTTTATTTTACCAATTCGACAAACGATTGCATTCGTTTTCATCTGAGCAGCTTAAATACTTTTCAACCAACATTTGCTTTGATATGAAATGAAAACCGTAAAAGGGGAAAAGGCAGTTCTTTGTTTCTGCGTTTTTCTAGCAAAGTGAACACTTTTGGTGACTTGTCTTCTGTTTTTTGTATTTAACTTTAATTGTGGTCTTCGTTAGTCTCTGCAACTTCCAGAGAACATTGGGAAATTACTTTTAACCTCTGAAAAACCCCAGATGAGCTGCATACACTCCACACACACATTTAAAATGAATACAACAACAGCCAGTTCGTGCGTAATTATTTTTAAGAATAATTTCGGATCTATTTTGGTGTAAAGATAATCAATATAGTATCATATATAATACATGATTGCTTGTTTATATTATCTGAGTATGTATAGTATTATATTTGCATCTCACAAATAAAATAAATGTGGTTGTATTTTGATGGAGAGGTGCGTAATTTAGAGACTCCGTGTGTTTCTTTGCGTGATTTGAATGAGCTTGTATTCAG